CCAAAAATTTTGCGTCGAAGTCACTTAAGAAAGACTATCGTCTTTAAAAACTGCCCAAATAATGTCCTCATAGAGAAACATACTACATAAAGAGTGGCCACTCTAGCCTCTTCGCGGCCCCGCAAGATAGGTTCTGACCAACCGCTAGATGGCGCGCCCATGTTCGCTTACGCATTTTTGGATATCAAGAGAGCGTACGATAGCGTGGTTCAAGAGGAATTGTGGGGAATACTGGACACACTAGGCGTGAAACATGTAGTCACTAATCCTTTAAAGGGTATCTATAAAGGTAACAAGGTAGTTATAAAGTGGGAAAAACAGGTATCCAAGCCTGCAGAGGTAAAACCGGGGCTTAGGCAGGGGTGCCTGCCTGTCACCCTTATTATTCATGATGTATCTACAAGGATTAGAGGCAAAATTAGAGGGAAGTGGACTGGGCTTCAACCTCTCTTTAGTCAAACAAGGAAAATTTATTGATCAGGCACTACCAGCAATAATGTACGCAGATGATATAGTGCTAATGGCCAACAACAAGGAAGATTTGCAGAGATTGATGGACATCTGCGGTAATGAGGGAGATAGGTTAGAGTTTAGATTCAGTAAGGAAAAATCAGCAGTCATGATTTTCAATGACAATGAAGGTAGTGAGCTTAGAATACAGGAGGTCACGCTAGAGATAACAGATAAATACAAATATCTGGGCGTGTAGATAAGCAATGGGACCGAGTATCTGAGGGAACACGAAATATACGTGACGACTAAGGTAACAGGAATGCAGCAGTTATGAAAAATAGGGCACTGTGGAATTACAATAGGTATGATGTTGTGAGAGGAATATGGAAAGGGCTGACGTTCTGAAAGGGAAAGGGTTGAAAGGGAAAGGGTTCCTGGGCTGACGTTCGGCAATGCGGTCTTGTGCATGAGATCAGATGTGCAAGCAAGATTAGAAATTAACCAACGTGGAATAGGTAGGCTTGCTTTAGGAGCTCACGGGAATACACCAAATCAGGGAGTACAAGGTGATATTGGATGGACATCATTTGAGGGCAGGGAGCTAGCAGCAAGATAAAATTTGAGAAGCGATTGAGAGAAATGGGGAAGATCGTTGGGCTAGGAAGGTTTTCAGCTACTTGTACATGAAGAATGTCGATACGAAATGAAGGATGCGAACCAGGAAGTTGACTGGTAAATACTTAGAAAACAGCAGGTGGCCAAACCAAAAAGAACTATCGGTTAGAAGAAAGTGAAGGAAACGGAGACTGACATGTGGAGAATGGGCATGATTAAGAAGTCCGCACTAGAGATATATCGAAATTTTAAGCAGGAAATCGCCAAGGAAAGTATCTATGATAATACTCGGGGTAGTTCTCTACTGTTTGAGGCCAGGACGGGAGTACTGCGATCCAAGACATATCGGGCCAAATACGAAGGGTTAGACACAGTATGCAGTGCGTGTGGAGAGGAAGAAGAAACTGCCGAACACTTGATAATGTTCTGTAAAGGGCTTCACCCTATAGTTCAGGATGATGGCAGCAGAGTTTTTCAAAGCACTGGGGTTTAGGGACCGGGAGGGCAAAATAAACTTTAAGCGGGTAGACTTAACTAGAAGGAGGTTATCTGATTGGTGGCTAAAGTCAAGGCACGAGTGAAAATTAAACTCTTCACTGCAAAGTATGAATCCTCAAACTCACTTTTTAAGGAAAAAATAAATAAATATAGTTTTTAGGTTCATTAGGTATTACGGCTTGGTGGCGCTAGCCACCGCCCGATCTAAAGGGTACAGCCATATCCATCCATCCATCCATCCACTTTTCTGTCACGATATACAAAAGCCGCCTCAGGAGGTCAACTAAAACATTAGTTTTGCATCAAATTTTCGCAAAGAAGAAACTTCGCTGATTTGTGCAATTTTCCACATCCGCTTTACAACGTGTCCCCCTCAGGACGTTTAACTCTTGACACAAAAATCAGTAAAGTTTGACTAGAAAGTGTTGTTCTTCTGCATTTATTTCACAGAGTGCAAATTCATGTGGTTTAAATGTGCTGTAGACGTATTCCTTTTGTGCACGGAATTCAACCCGACATTACCTTCAAATATAACTGCTCCTCAGCTCAACTGCTCGAGATGATCACGTCGCGCTGCTACCAATGAGATCGTACCAAAGTGTAAGAGCCAATTTTACGCTGAGTAGAGACTAGCTGAATCTGTTGGGAAAAAATGTTACCGCATTACTCAGCCCTAATTGACGCCCGTCGTCGGCTGAGTACTGTACACAATATCGATGCTTGGTATCTCGTTGACCAATCCATTCATAGCCAGCGAGAGTATTCCATCAATAAAACGAGATCGCTGGCTTCTTACAGCGTGGCTATTAGTGTGAACCTTTTGCAAATGTGTGCATTCGCTTTGTGCACATATTGATATGTAGCTCGAAACAAACAAAACAAACGCGCGAATCACTGGGCCCATCGTTCTTGCCTTTTTATGTACGCATGAACTGTCAGGAACGGACCATTATTCTGTTTTGTACTTCATGACGATAGTGTAGGTCACGAAAACTTTGTGCTTGAAGGTTCACTCAGAATAAAGGTGTGTTTTACTTGCTGCTACCTTCTTTGAATTGCCTTTACCCATTGAAAGTGACGCTCCAATTTATTTATGGCGAAAAACATTGAATGCTCCACAATCCCCGTGATACACGGCTCTTGACCATCAATAATTAGGGTGAGATCACCTCGTGTGCATCCGAACACTTTTTTTCGCTGTCGCTTAGTTTCAGCATGCCAGCCTAGAGCCGAATACAAGCAATGTGGAAAAAAAACTGCGCCAAAAAAACTTGCCTGGAAATCCTTAAGCTACAAGAAAAAAAGCTCTAACACTGTGAAGTTTATCGCCGAATGAAGCCTTGAAGCTAGAAATTCGACAGCATGCTGATTCCACTTTGAGATATGCTAACGCTAAAAAGCAGTGAAGAGGAAACTTGGGATAGGCAAAAGTCGGATGTATGTGCTAAGGGACAAAGAAGGCAAAATAACTACCAATATGGATAGGATAGTTAAAATAGCAGAGGAGTTTGACAGATATCTGTACAGTAGCCGAGACAACCACGACCTTGATACTATAAGAACTAGCAGTAACCCAGATGACACCCCACCAGTAATGATAGAAGAAGTCAGAAAAGCTTTGGAGAGCATGCAAAGAGGCAAAGCTGCTGGTGAGGATCAGGTAACATCAGATCTGCTGAAAGATGGAGGACAGATTGTGTTAGAAAAACTAACCACCCTGTTTACGAGGTGTCTCCTGACGGGAAGAGCACCAGAGTCTTGGATGAATGCTAACATCATCTTAATACATAAGAAAGGAGATGACAAGGACTTGAAGATTTACAGGCTGATCAGCTTGCCCTCTGTAGTATACAAGCTATTTACAAGGGTAATTGCTAACAGAGTAAACAAAACATTATAATTCAATAAACCAAAGGAACAAGCAGGATTTAGAACAGGCTACTCAACAATTGACCACATTCATACTATCAATCAGTTAATAGAGAAATGCTCGGAGTGTAACCAACCACTATACATAGCCTTCATAGATTACGAGAAGGCGTTTGATTCAGTAGAAATATCAGCCGTCATGCAGACACGGCGGAATCAGGGCGTAGATGAAGTATATATAAACATTCTGGAAGAAATCTACAGGGGATCAACTGCTATCATAGTGCTTCATAAAGAAAGCAACAGAATATCAATGAAGAAGGGTGTAAGGCAGGGGGACACAATCTCCCCAATGCTATTTACCGTGTGCTTACAGGAGGTTTTCAAAAGCCTAGTATGGGAACAGTTAGGGATAAGAGTTAATGTAGAATACCTTAGTAACCTAGCTGCGCTTCGCCAATGACATTTCATTGCTGAGTAACTCAGGCGACGAACTGCAACTCATGATTACGGAGTTAGACAAGAAGAGCAGAAAGGTGGGTCTTAAAATTAATCTGCAGAAAACGAAAGTATTGTACAACAACCTCGGAAAGGAGCAGCGCTTCGAGATAGGTAATAGTGCGCTTGTAGCTTGTAAAATACTATGTCTACTTAGGGCAGGTAATAACCGCAGAGCCGAATCACGAGATTGAAGTAACTAAAAGAGTAAAAATAGGGTGGAGCACATTCGGCAAGCACTCTCAAATTATGACAGGTAGATTGCCACTATCCCTCAGGAGGAAGGTATATAACAGCTGTATCTTGCCAGGTACTTAGCTACGGAGCAGAAACCTGGAGACTTACAAAGAGGGTTCAGCTTAAATTGAGGACGACGCAGCGAGCAATGGAAAAAAAAAATGGTAGGTGTAACCTTAAGAGACAAGAAGAGAGCAGGGTGGATTAGGGGACAAACGGGGGTTAAGGATATCATAGTTGAAGTAAAGAAGAGGAAATGGACATGGGCCGGGCTTGTAGCGCGTAGACAGGATAACCGCTGGTCATTAAGGGTAACTAACTGGATTTCCAGAGAAGGGAAGCGGGTTAGGGGGAGGACAGAAGGTTAGGTGGGCAGATGAGATTAAGAAGTTCGCGGGTATAAATTGGCAGCAGCAAGCACAGGACCGGGTTAACTGGCGGAACATGGGAGAGGCCTTTGTCCTGCAGTGGACGTAGTCAGGCTGATGGTGATGGTGATGGTGGTCATGTTTATCTGTATGTGCGAGTACGCTTCGTGCGTGATTTATGCGTGAACAACGCAGGGCATGTTTGTGTTGTGTATGTGTGTGTGTGCGTTGTATGTGTGCGTGTGCACGCGCGCGTATTTCACGTGCTTGTATTTTACGCCGGCCTTTCGACATGTGACCCTATTCTTTGAGGTTTGTAAGGCATTCGTTTCACTCAGCTAAAATTATAGGTTTATGTTTGCAGTCCCACTGTTCTCCTTCTGCCAGCGTTTAAGGAAATCCTTTTTTGTCAACATAAGCTGTGCAGAAGCGTAGAGAAAATCACTGTGCTTACACGCCAACGTGGATGTGAGGGACTGTCACCCAAGTTTATTCAGGAATGTGCTGGTTAACGGAGAACGGAGTGTCCTTTTTTTTGCTTCCGCCTTATATGACAATGAGAACTTCCTCTTTCATCTCCTTTGGCGAAGTGCTGCAGCCGTCTTGTGCCACTAAAAGTGCGTCATTTCAAGAACATATATTTGCTGAGGTTCGGTGTTTCCGGTGACAGCGACTCTGCAAAAATAATAAAGTGACAGCAATGTGAAAATACAGCTTATTTAGTTGAAACATATAATCACACTTGTATACATTTTCGGTTAGTGCCTTTGTCTTCGTGTTAACAAAGTAATAACAACTTAAAATAATGATCTCAGTGTCTCGTATATATTCGGAATTTCACGGGAGACTCAACATTATTGTTATCAGCCAGACGTGCATCAACGTGACACAATTATCCCTAAACTAAAGAAAAGCCAGTCGCGTTTACCTTTGTTTGTATTGTACGGTGCTGTTATTGCCAGGTCAATTCCCAGCTTATTGTGCCTCTTTTCCTTTAGCATGGATCAATAGCAAAACGCTCCCTCATCGGGTACGCCAGCGCGCATTTAGCGCCTACATCCTCGTTATCTTCGCTGCAACATGATTATAGCTTAAAACCATCCTGCGTTCACACAATGTAGCATTACGTTGAGATAGCCAAAAATCATGTGCTTGTATTCATCCACAAATGAAAAAAGAGTTCTATATTTTATGGTGCACAACATAAGCGTGAGTGAGCTGTCGATGTCAACGAGCGAAAGGGAACAACAAGCTCAGTGCACCGAACGCCGGAGCATTTGTCGAGTATTCCCAGACAAAACTTCCTTCTCATTATCGATCTACAAACGCTATTACCTAACATGTATAAAAACACTACAAAAAAATGAGGTAGAGACAACGGCACAGGGCAGCAGCAAGAAGCTGTAGCCACTGAAGACACCGTGGCGGGTCGCCTGAGATTTGGCTGCATAAATTTCAATTGACAAAGTATAACTCTAGCAGAACTCGTTGTTAGCCTATAGTGTGTTAAGGGTGCTTGAAAGTCAAGATTATGCGAAGGAAGAACACGTTTACATGGAAGGGGAAAGGAACAAGCGCAAGTACGCATGCCCCTTGCCCCATATTGTTCTATTCGAACGTATCCGTTTCCCGTGCAACCTTTTACTTTCAGGTATTAGAAGGGCTGCCGTGAACTCCGGCTCACTTTAAACATACAGGTTTCGCCACAGAATAGTTTTCAGAGTGATGTCATTGATGAGCGCATACACACAAAACAGTTATTGATCTTACTTGTTCTCTGTGGCTTCATGCTTGGAGAACCCGTCCTCTAGCGTCTTCTCGAAGCTCTCTGGAAGCAGCCAGGATGCGCCGGCGCCCGCCAAGCAAAGGCCTGCCGACACGATGCTCGGCACCCACGATTGCGTCGCTTCACCCTGTGAGCGATCAAGAAAAGTAGAACGCGACAAAGTCAAGAAAAGACGGACTTGGTACTGTTTGATGCGAGAAAAAAATTCACAGGTGATAGGAATGATATGGCTCAGTGCAAAAGGATTCGTAGGCGGTGGCACTGAGCGCGGGCTCTTCGTTTAGCAGCGACGACAAAGAACAGCGACCTACTACTTCACAAATGCAGCAACATGCAGGTCGCGCGGTGCCGAATGGGCGCGATTGGTATACACATACGTGTATACGTTGGTAGGCCCTTACATTAACGGGGCCCACAGTGCCATAGTGTCGGTTTAAACGACGTCCGTTAAAGAACTACAGGAAATAAGGAGATCTTGTAGTGCCGCGCTGCACATAGAAGACAATTTGCTGACATCAGAAACATATAAAGACACACAGCCACCGTAACGTGGTTAGTACAAGAAAGGTCTTCTGTAAGAAATAAATCTCAGTAATTGTATCATGAATCTAAGTTAGATGAAACGCAAAGAATGGTTAAAGAAGCTGCATGACTTGAGCCGATTCGTGAAAGATGTCACGACTGTTTTAGCACAAGTAATGTGCATTTGCCATGTTTTAGACAAGTCGTTAAAAAAAGTGAGCTATTCCGCGATACGGCGAGGACCATTAAAAATGCCACAGAAAAGTGCCGGGCCACTAAAAAATAAACTGCGTTCAATATTAATATGAGGCTTACAATTTATCGCATCACATGTTCGTTGGACCTCAGCCACCATGGCGGCTTAGTGGCTGTGTTGGACTTGCTTCCTCGCGGGTTTGATTCGTGACCGCGGCAGCAGCATTCTCATAAAGACGAAATTCAGAAGCAGTTACGTAGATTTTGGTGCAATATAAAGATGCCTGGGCGGTCGAAACTGATCGCACTGCGGCGTGTTTAAATCTCTAGGTAGTTTCGGCACGCGAACCCCCAGTAATCAATATGTAGCCATTATTTTCTTTGCTGTGATTTCCGTGCGCAGACAACCACGCCAATTGAATGCTTGACAACACTTACCAAGTCATCAAAAAACGGCGCAAGAGCCGAGCCAAGCCTTCCCAGTGTGTAGCAGAAGCCCATGGCTACAGAGCGCACCACGGTCGGGTACGTCTCGCTCAACTGGACGCGAAGCACCGCACCATTCACTGACGTGCCCACTTTTCCCAGCATGAGCAGGGCCAGCCGCAGCCACGAGTATTCTGCGGAAATGAAATGTCGCGCTACATTTGCAACGCCACACGCGCGCAGTGAAGTGGCGTTGGATGTGTAGCCAGCTCATTTGCGAGGAGTTGAATGCGGAGAGTTGAATGTGTAGTCACCTCATTAGCAAACATTTGGATGATGGATGTGTAGTCAGCTAATTTGCAAAGATCTCAATTTGACGTCACAAATTCAGCACTTGAGTCATGACTGCGACACTCTCTGGCAAGCAGACCATCGCACACTCACTACCAATGGCGTTGGATCAAACGCCCAAAAATTACACGCTCAGAAATACCAAACCAACTGGGCAGACAAGAGCCTTCCATCGTAGATCAATAGTAGTGCACCCTACGTGTAATTTGAAAGGTGTGGGTTCGAATCTTATTCTCATGATGCGGGCACATCTGTACGTGGCTTCAACTCTCGGTCGCAGGAGCAGCGTTTTGCTATATCTGAACGGAAAATCGGTGAGGCAAATCACATATCTGAAAAAAAGCTAGTTATCAAAAATGAATCCAGGTTGCATACAGCAGACACCTACTTGAACATTTTGACAAAATTGCAGTGCCGCACTTCAAAGCGTGTTGCTTCCCAGGAGAACTATCGGAAGCCACGCAGTTCGTGGTATGTCACGGCCGCCTTAATAAAATCTTCAAATGACTCTTTGCTGTACAGAACTGCGGGTCGTTTTGACAACTGATTTATTTTCTTCAGATATGATTATGTTTTATTGTACTTCGGATTCAGTTAAGGCACGCCACGGCACCAACCGACAATCAGTGGCGCTATGTCCCCAAATTCTTGTGATTCCCACTAATGGAAGGTGATCTTGGTCCCTTTTATTTCCTTTGAACTTACGTTATTTATAATTAGTACACTGCAGTCGAAGACACGACCTAATGTACGAACCAATGTACCTTGGGCAGATTTTCTGCTGGTTTCATTTAGTTGTTCCTTGCCTACAGTAAGATTTGCAATTCAAATATCAGTGCTGCCCTCGTCTTCTTCCCCGGTGTCAGCCCCCGTATGAAGGCGTAGTTTTTTCCTTGAATTAACACCACTTGGGATTCAGAGACGTGTCTCTTCTGCTCTAGTGAGGAGTGATAGTAGTCACTCCTCACCAGAGCAGAAGCTCACGTATTTAGTGATACTAACCACTCCTCACTATAGAGCCTGAGTTCACATACATGCACTTACAAAGTTCTCAGGAAAATATTGGACCAACAACGGCACTGGACACATCCGAAGTAAATGCCTCGAGCCAATCGATGGACGAGATATTCAGCCCCTTACTCCTGGATAACTTCCTGCTTCTTCTGACAAGGTATTTTACTTTGTGTCACACAATTTGGAAGCAAAACTGCTTTGTCACCATGTGCCTGCGCAAATACTTCAAGACAGACAATCTGGAAGTTCATCTATCGTACACCTCGAGTGCTTCATAACTTCCAGCTCCGCCACGGGTTCGAGATATTGATAAAGCTGCACTCATAATGACCAGCGTCATTCCCTTGGTATATAACCTTTACTAAGCCCATAACAGCTCTATAATACCGTAGTTCCGACGACTCTCAACGAACAAAAAGCACGGAATTATCTATTTTTCATCCCAGCAACATTAGTTTAGTGTGCTTTGTTTATCATAAACATTTATTGCTGCGCCAGCTGCTTCATGTACCTGTACTTACCAGCTGGCAAAAGCCAGAGGGCGACCATAACTAGCGCCGAGAAGCACATGGTGCCGCAAATGGTGTACCGGCGACGGCAATACTTGATCAGCACCACGTTGATCAGCTTTACCGGGTACTCGGAGGACGCACCGATTGTGAAGCTCACGTATGGATTTCCTCCTGCGGCTGCCGTGGAGACCGTCATGTGGTACCATACTATGCTGGAGATTATCCTGCATGACCGGCCAAGACACGCAGTGTGCATTTAACGGCGTTGTGTTTTTGGCAAAGACACACACAGTAACGATAGAAAGAAGACATGACGTTTCTCGTCTGCTTGTGAGCTTCCCACGAATAACTTATAGCGCGTTGCTCTCGGTGCAGTTAGTTGCGATACACAGAATAAATTTAGCATGAAACTCATCGATAATTTATGCCGGTTCGGCTGAGTCACTTTAGTAGACTTGCGTGGGCGCCAAAAATACAAGTGTATGGTGAGCGGGTAACTTTTAACTGCAAGCTAATCAAGAGAGACCGTATTTTGAGCTATAGTACCGACAAACTGACAAAAGGCTTCATTTTAGAAGGAATACCGTGAGAAGTACCAAGCTCGTTGTGTCAGTACTCATGAAATTGCACTGACAAAGAAGCCCTTTGTTGGAATTTTTCGCCAAGAAATGTCAGGTGAAAAAAGCCAAGCATCTGCCAGCTTTCATTGAGATATTTTCTTTCGCGACAGGAAGCTAGGGCAAGGCTTGAGGATGAAATGACGTAAAGAATGGTATGCCAACGTCAAAGACCAGTTACAGAGCCTGATTTTTCGCATGCGGCCGCTCAAGTGGTCAGCGAAATGCACTGCACTTGGCACATCTTTTGAGAGGCGTACTTTGTGTCTTCTTTGTGCGACCATTTTCTACGGTTGCGAAACCTGTTACAGTATCGCCGAAGCACAGCGTGCCTTCGTGCTTCGGAAAAGCGCCAAATAGAAGTCTGGCTGTTGCTCTTCGAGCAGCTTAACATGAACGAACGCAAAACCACATATAGCCTTGAGCACGAGCTCGCTCGCACCCAAGAGGTCTTTTTTCTTATGCTCTTCAAACGCCTTGATGATGACAAAATTGAACCGAGAAAAATAGAAAAACTAGATAACAAAAAAAGAAAGAGAGGAGTAAAGAAAGAGAAAAACTAAGAAGGCTGCCCAGCTCCGTCCTTTCTTCAGGATTGCAACGAGTAATGCGCATGTACTTTAATTTTTCGTCAGAGCACCACCAGGTGACTGAAATTTGCGCCTCCCCCTCTCGCACCACGGCGCGACGTGTTAAACCGTTTGGCCGCCAAAGCATTCTTTCTTCACCATAATAATGAAGAGCTATACATATACACTATTTAGCACTGGTGGTACGCAGATCCCTGAGGTGTCTTAGCGTGGTAGAAGCTTGTTCACCATCACGCAACAGCCGGCGTCCAAGTCCAACGGTCGCGAGAGTGCCTCGATGCGCGCGCCTCCATTTCGAGTGTGGCCATTTTTTGAATGGGTCGACGCCGTCTCGCCACACGCGCCCGCCATCGTTTTCGCCCACGCTGTGCTATGTTTAAACGGGCACAGACACCTGCCGCCTTGTCGCCCGTCCTTAAAGAAGACCTTCATATACAGTGAGGATAAAGCGTGACAAGTGACAGCCGATGAATACCTCTCGTGTATGCAGTGTGAGTACTGCAAACTCTGTTGTTTCCTTTCACATTTCATTTGCTACGTCACGTACTTTTGGTATATTTTTATAACAGCGCGTAGCAACGCACTCAGAGATTGGGCACGTGTTTTGTTTTAACGGAGGGTTATAGCCTCTTTAGCGCGCACTTATCACATATTATAATCGAACGTTGACCTAACTGGTAACGCAAAATGGTTTTATCATGTTTGAAAAATTCTCATAAATTTGGTGTTGTTTTCGGTGCGTGCCTGGAAATCATAATTTCACTGTCACGGCCATCTACTTTCTTTTCCTCTTTCTTTTTTAAGCGTCAAGGTGTCAATATGTAAATTGTCGCCTATGAAATGAAAGCGACAGTTCCCTCCGAGTTTTGTTTTCTTGAGGAACAGGAATGACAAATAATTTTTTTTATGTTATCCGGAGAAATATGTTTCCAGAATGACCTCTCTGAAAGAACGCTTTTTTTTTGTGCACTATACACAGTCATTAATTTTAACGGAGAATTAGCGTCCTTAAAATCTGGCCGCAGACTCACAAAGTGAATGCAGATAATGAAGCGGCATTCCCAAGGTCCATTACGTCTACGTTGAGCTCACCAACTAGAATAAAGGACGGACGGAGGAATCGACGGACAGATGAACGAATCCGCGAAAGGATGAACATATGGATAGATGCACGGACGGACGGACGGGCGGACATATACAACAAGGACGGTTGGACGAACAGATACAAGGACGGACGGGTGGACGCGGACGGACGCACGGATGGATGGACACGCATAGTGGAAGGAACAGATTGATGGACGAACGCACGGATGGACTGACGCATGGACGCACGGAAGGACAGATACACGGATGGATGGACGTACGGACAGATGGACCGAACGAGCGGATGAATGGACGGACTCTGGCACGGATAGACGCGGACGCATGCAAGGAAAAACAGACGGACGCATGGTCGCATAGATGCGTGGATGGACGTACTTATCGACCGACAGATGGACGGATAGATGCAGGGATGGTCGGACGGACAGAGTACGGTCTATTTTTAAACCTGTATGCACGCCATGAACGCTCTATGTACAGGATAAGTAACACCTGTGTTTCGCTCGTTGAGGTCCGTCGGTGACGACGACGTCAATGGCGGACATCATGAGAGCCTAAGGAGCTTCGCGCCTAAAAATTGATGCATCACATGAGTACAGTCGCTTCCGCTGCGACTGCTAAACAACATTTTGATGCTTACCGAATTGAGATGGCATTTTCTCGAAATGGGAAATGCAGCCACTCTACCACAGCCAGCAGCCAACTGGACACGCCCGGCAGTGAGGGTTATTACGTAATGCAACACCTTCAGGCAGGAAACATTTAAACAGTTTTATTCATGCGTGCCTACAAACCTCTAACTAGCATCCATGAACGAATATGCGTTTTCGAGGCCAAGTCCAGCAGAAAGTGCCTTTCTTCATGAGCAAAAAGCTACCGATTCGAGCGCTGGTAGTGCGCGCATTGAGGAGTGGGATCAGTATAGGCGACAACTCTAGCTAGCATATACGATGCGCTTGTCTCCACCCTGAACAGAGCGGAAGCGAACGAGCACATCGAGGCACTCTAATGCCGCATTGACACTTGGTCTTGAAGGAAGCGAAAGCGGCCAAACTCACTGGCAATGCGCTAGCCGCACAGCCGCAACGCACGTGCCGGCACACCTGCCGCACCCAAGCGGAGGGTAGAAGAGCGTCGCCAATTGGCTTATTTGTCTCCCGCTTGCGTGAGGCAGGGGTCCCGACGGGGCAGGAGCCCTTCGAGACTGATTTTTCCGCCACGCGAAAGTGGATACTCTTACCGTTTAGCGACTTTGGCTGCACGAGGCAATACCACTAGATCTAAACAGCTGTCCGCAGATTCAACATGACAGCAAAGGCGTGGGCGGTGGCTCGCATGAGCTCAAATATCAAAGTGCGCGCGCAGTACGATAAATCTTGACACCCTCAAGCAGGACGCGTTCATCGAGAGCTTGGTTTATATTACAATCACAGACAACACTGGAAGTGGACGGTGGAGCAGCAGCGAGTCAGCATGCCCCAACTGTCTCACTTTTGTGCACAGCCAACTGAAACCGCCTTTGCCGCTGCCGGTGCATTTGCTCATGTTGTTTATACTGGCGTATCTGCCAAAACAACCTTTGAAAATTGCGAGCTGTTTCATTTGAATACTTTGCGTGAGTATATAACCAAAATTTGGAACGAAATTGAGGGCTCAGAAAGCACGCAAAATTGAATTCATTATCAAGGTAGCGACGACAGCGGCGGCGTTAGGATACATCATAGGCTGAAAGAATGTGAACAGTTCTACACGCCTGGTCGCGATTTGCCGGCCACTCTGGCATTTTTGTTTTTGCTCGATTTGTCAAGCGTGTATGTGGCCTCAAGGGCGCACTTTAAAGGCCAACCTGCGGCGATTTTTCGACCCTGTCGAATAATTTTTAGGGAGTTTTAGAATACCGTTTGCAAGCGCTGCGGGCGATGCGAGCGAAGCGGCCGCCATAAGAGCTTTAGAATAGCGTTTGCCCTGCTGCGAAACACAACGCACGATCGCAGCGACCCCGTAGCCTCGAAACCAGCGCTTGCGGGCCACATGCGGGCCGCCATCACCGCACGCAATTACGGATTTTCTGCGTGCGGTCCGCGAACGCGAACGCCGACTCGCGTTACGACGAATGCGCAGTGGCAGCGACCGCACCACAAGGGCTCGCGGTGCGATTCTAAAACCCCCTTTTAATTACCGAAAAAGCGCAATACCCTAACCGAAACCCAACCGAGTGCGCTTCTACGTGTGACAAAGATTTACCTGACGCTGCCGAAACTTCCCTGATTGCACATAATGCCTGCCAGATGGCACTACCCATCCACGCCGTCCACAGCGATCGGCTAAAACGCTTACGCTGTTACGGTGATTGATTGATTGATTGATTGATTTATTGATATGTGGGGTTTAACGTCCCAAAACCACCATATGATTATGAGAAACGCCGTAGTGGAGGACTCCGGAAATTTTGACCACCTGAGGTTCTTTAAGGTGCACCCAAATCTGAGCACACGGGCCTACAACACTTCCGCCTCCATCGGAAATGTAGCTGCCGCAGCCGGGATTCGATCCCGCGACCTGCGGGTCAGCAGCCGAGTACCTTAGCCACTAGACCACCACGGCGTGGCACTGTTATGGTGAATGAATATATGGCGAATTGTGTATGGCTCACAACGCAACACCACTTCGCACCTATCACACGCCCACCCACGCAGAAAAAGGAAATCTGGCACTCAACCAAGGAAGCGCCGGCCAAACCCGACAAGCAGACGCAGCAGCGGCACATTCGTTCGGGACTCGTTCGCTGAATTCCGTGCTGACCGGTTGTGCCCTCGCGATCTCCGACAACAGCGCAGCTCTGGCCGACTGAGATGGTCCTACGCTACCTCATGCTGCCGGTCTCCAACGACGACGACAGCGTAGCTCTGGCCTACT